CCTGTCCCTCCTGCCCAGGTGGTGTTCCGGAACGCTCTGGAGATCTCACACCTGTCCCTCCTGCCCAGGTGGTGTTCCGGAACGCTCTGGAGATCCCTCACCTGTCCCTCCTGCCCAGGTGGTGTTCCGGAACGCTCTGGAGATCGGCTTCCTGGGCGGGCAGTACTTCCTCTACGGCTTCAACGTGCCGGCCATCTTCGAGTGCGACCGCTACCCGTGCGTCAAGGAGGTGGAGTGCTACGTGTCGCGGCCCACCGAGAAGAGCGTCTTCCTGGTCTTCATGTTCGCCGTCTCGGGCGTCTGCGTGCTGCTCAACCTGGCCGAGCTCAACCACCTGGGCTGGCGCAAGGTGCGCGCCGCCGTGCGCGGCGCCCGCGCGCGCCGCAAGAGCCTGGGCGAGGCGCGGCGCAGGGAGGCGGCGGCGCCCGCGCTGGGCCGGACGCAGTCCAGCGAGTCGGCCTACGTGTGAGGGGACTGGGATGGGATTGGGATTGGGATGGAACCAAAATTGGGATTGGGATGGGATTGGGATGGAACCAAAACTGGGATTGGGATGGGATCAGGACTGGGATGGAACAAGATCGGCGCCCGCGCTGGGCAGGACGCAGTCCAGCGAGTCGGCCTACGTGTGAGGGGACTGGGATGGGATTGGGATTGGATTGGGATTGGGATGGAACCAAAACTGGGATTGGGATGGGATTGGGATGGAACCAAAATTGGGATTGGGATGGAACCAAAATCGGGATTGGGATGGAATGGGACCGGAGCCCGCGCTGGGCAGGACGCAGTCCAGCGAGTCGGCCTACGTGTGAGGGGACTGGGATTGGGATGGGATTGGGATGGAACCAAAACTGGGATTGGGATGGGATTGGGATGGAACCAAAACTGGGATTGGGATGGGATTGGGATGGAACCAAAACTGGGATTGGGATGGGATTGGGATGGGATTGGGATGCAATCAGAGCCCGCGCTGGGCCGGACGCAGTCCAGCAAGTCGGCCTACGTCTGAGGGGACTGGGATGGGATTGGGATTGGGATGGGATTGGGATGGGATCAGGATTGGGATTGGGATGGGATTGGGATGGAACCAAAATTGGGATTGGGATGGAACGGCATCGGAGCCCGCGCCGGGCAGGATGCAGTCCAGCGAGTCGGCGTACGTGTGACAAAACTGGGATGGAGAGGACTGGGATTGAGATTTGGAGCCAAAATCGCCGGGTTTGGAACCAAAATTGTCAGGATCTGAAGTCAAAACTGGATTTGGAGCTGAAATTGCCAGATTTGGAGCCAAAATCACCAAGAATTGGAACCAAAATTTTTGGGATTTGGAGCCAATATCACCAA